TCTAACAGGGGATGTAAGCCTGCCAACTGTTTGGTGTACGTTTATAAGCATGATGCAGGGTTATCTAATTAAGATGGATTCTCAGTTTAAAAAAAAGGCGAGAGTTAAAAAAAAAAGGCGAGAGAAAACTTAGCAAGACTTTATGTAAAACTAGCAGATTTGACAAGTCTAAATAAAAAATCCTTTGATGAAATTAGATCTAAGTAAATTTCCCTAATAAGGAATGCCATAAGAGAACAATTAAATATGAAAGCAGATAGGATAATGGTTAAGATGAAACAAAAGAGGTATTATTTAGGCAATCGAGCTGACAAACGTATGTCAAACCAGATTAAAAGGGAAAATCAGAGAAACAGAATTTTTAAGATTATAAATGGGTTGGAAATCTGCATAAGCCCAGCAGCTAGTAGGAACGCATTTAAGAGGTTTTATACAACATTCTATAACCTCCCCAAAAGCAGAATCTCCAGACATAGAGGAATATTTAAGAGATTCAAATCTAACTCAGATCTCGCAAGATCAAAAAGAGTTGTTAGATTCCCCGTTGAAAGAAGATGGATTTAAGAGATAGGCTCCGGACCAAGAAGGTCCCTGGACCTGATGGATACTCGAACCTGTTTTATAAGAAACTAAAGTTCTTATTAATTCCCCATTTGACAAACAAATTTAATATAATCAAGGAAAGTAGGAATTTTCCAGCCGAAATGTTGCAAGCCACAATAGTCCCTATTCCCAAACAGGATAAAGACAAAACAAGGGTCCCAAATTACCATCCAATCTCTCTAATAAACATCGATACCAAAATGTATTCTTCTGTAATTGCAGTGTTATGGGCAAATGCAAATATTACAAATTTTAGAATGACATATTTTATTCCTCAAATTGTGTACTTTGTCTTTAAGAGTGCATAATATGTCTACGCCATTTTGTCCCAGACGAAATACAATAACAATAATGCATAAACAAGCTTCAAAGCTATGCTACGACTCTTTCAGTACATAATATACTGTGGTAACCCTAAGTAGATAAAGATGTTCAGACTTTAAGATGCCATCTTGACCTAAGTCAGGAAAATGTCCATGACGTGTACACCCGTTAGTTAAGGGAGGTCCTAAAATTAATAAAAGTAAAAGAAGTTACTTTTTCATGTATGAACTGCGGTGACCCTAAAATGAAGACACCTAAGGTATAAATAAGTGTACTTTTATATGTTAAGACACAGGCAGAGGAGTGATTTGGAGACAGACGCTGCTCCATCTTAAAATGACAGAGAGACTGACATGATGACATGTTCAGGAGGGTATGTTAATCTATTAATGATATTTGCAAGCATTTAGTTTAATCTTATAAACTCTGCTATACATTATTGTAATGGATTTTATATGTTTATATTTTTATATAATAAATATCTAAAAAGACAAAACTGTATTGCTTCCAAGACAATCCTTATTTTATATTGTATTCTTAATGAATTATTTAAATATGTTAAATGGAGGATCTTTTACTAACTATATAAAATTATGAAGAAAGAGAGAGGGGCTATGGGGTGGGGAAACCACCACCACTACCCCACAAAAAGGTTACAGAGGTACAAGGGGCGTAACTCCACAATATATATAGAAAAAAAGAGACGAAAAATGGGGCAGACAGTCCACTCACAAAAAAGTGGGTGGAATGCCTAGCCTCATTCAAAGTACCTCATAATTTAAAAAGTCACATAGAAGAGGATAAACAACCTTTATTAGAAAAAAATGCTAAAATGGTATATAGTCCAAATACTATTACCATACACTAAAATAGTGTATTGATTATAAGTAACCACCAAATTTGTAAAAGCCTGGGAGAGGCTAATCCTGCAAGGTATGTTTGACTTAATAAAGGTGTAAAGATACACCTAAAATAATAAATGGGTAACAAAGCAGGTTAGTCTAAATCCATTCTAGGAAAGGACCCAACTGGGTAATTGGATAGAAAAAGGATAGTCTTAGAGCAGTGTCTGAGAGAATCTGGAAAGGGCAGGGTTAATAGCAACTAATGGGGCACGCCCAAACTAATATTGAGTAGCTTATACTAAAGAGAAAAGGAGCTAATACCCCATAAAGAGAGGAAAGATAGAAACCCCCCCTTTGAGTCACCCTAAAAAAGCTAACTATCCTAAGAGAAAAAGCAAAACTAACTGCTGCTTCATGGCAGCCTATCCAAATCCCTAAGTCTGTATCAGGAGAAAATATAGGCGCAAACTCATGTGCTGTGGAAACCCAGGTAAATGAAAGATGAGAGTAAAGAAAATCAATTGAGTATAGTAGCATCGGCTAGAAAATATCTCGACGTGCGTTTCGGCGTTTTAGATACGCCTTTGTCAAGAGCTACCTGGTAAGTGACACGGGAAGCAGTTATAAAGGGGATATAGACACACCCTTCAATTAAAGCCCTCCAATCAAAAGACCACAGGTTGTGAAAGAGTGACAGGTGACCTCCCCTGCATATTGAACCAATTGGAGGAGGTGGGAGTGGTCACCCTATTCACTCAGTATACACTAATGGCAAAAAAGGCGAACCTAGCTTTGTATCTCTGGAAAATAAACTTAAATTGAACCTTGATCGTTATTAGGATTCGATTAAGTTTCGGAAACATCAGAAATTCATTAGAGACTCTAGGGACTATCAATCTGGGAACATCTATAATTTCCCCACTCGCCGTATGAGACAGAATTCTGAGAACTATTTGACATCTGACTACGAGTCCTCAGATACTGACTCTAGTGTTACACCTCTAAACTCACAACCCCCACCCACAACCCTACCTAGCACTACTAATCCACATAGCATTCTGAAAAAAGGCGTTGATTTTTTAGAAATGGACCACCAGGAGGTGTTCCCGAATTATCAAACACGCTTTCAATCCAGAAATCAGGGGAGGGGAGGGAGAGACATCACTAAGCCCTAACCTTGTAACACAACTTACTGATATTCTAAAACTACAGGTAATCAATTTATCTTCTTTTCAGTTAGATGAATCCCATCGTAATATTTTGGAAAAGGGGCTCTCTTTTGTACCAACTCCAGCATTCGATAGATTTACATGGACAAAGGATTTACATCTTTTTGTACGTAAATTGTCTCTGCACAAATGCCATGAGCTAAACAAAGAAAAGAAAGCTTGCTCCCTAGGCCTCTCCAGTACAGATATAGATTGCCTTAATACTTTGGTCTCTCTTCTCAATGACAATGATGCTCAACCCCCGACTAACTATACGAGTTTGAAACCTAAAAGCCGTTTTACTCCTAATTTTGCACCCTTTAGGAATATTGACCTTTTCCTCGAGGCTGTCAAAAGTGAGATTGATGGCATAGATAGTTCAAACTTTCATTCCTTCCCTAATGACAATCTATCTATAAGTGAACAGACTGCCTTAAAATCACTGAGAGACAATGATAATGTGATTATTAAACAGGCAGACAAGGGAGGTAATGTGGTGGTTATGGACATCTTCAACTATGAGAAAATGGTTCTGAAGGTTCTAGGCAATACTGATACTTATCCTTCCCTCTGATCCGACTAATTCTTTTTTAGAAGGTTATAAGAACATTTTGGACGATGGGAGGAGGGTTGCTCTCCGATGAGGAATATCATTTTATTTTGAATCGTAATCCGAGAATTGCAACCTTCTACTGCCTGCCTAAAATCCATAAGAATATTACAGACCCACCAGGTCGACCAATAGTGTCTGGTGTCGACAATTTAACACAGAATGGAAGTCTTTGCATTGACCAGATTCTTAGACCTTTTGTTGAACATTTACCTTCTTACATCAGAGACACCAAGCATGCACTCTCTCTCCTTTCGAATCTCCACATTGCGCCTACAGCAAATCTATGCAGCCTTGATGTGGAGGCTCTTTATTCTTCCATCCCACATCAGAGAGGCATTGAACATGTAAAATACTTTCTTGACAAAAGGGGTCCAGAACAGCAAGCACATACCACCTTTACCATCACACTCTTGAAATTCATCCTGTCTCATAACTATTTTTTGTTCCATAACAAGTACTACCACCAAACACGGGGGACAGCTATGGGTACTGCTTGTGCACCCTCTTACGCTAACCTCCATTTAGGGTGGTGGGAGGAGCAAATCCAGACATCTACCTACCTGTCACCTTTTCTGTCCAAAATTATTTTTTGGTACAGATACATCGATGATGTCATCATAGTTTGGCAGGGTAATAACATTGAGTTTGAAGAGTTTGTTGCCCTCCTCAACATAAATGAAGACAACCTCAAATTTACCGCAGAGTTTGGAGGGTCCTCTTTGAATTTTTTGGACATTACGATTTCTATCTCTAAGAATGGTTCCCTTGTCACTACTCTGTTTAGGAAACCCTCTGCATCTAATTCACTTCTCAAATGGAATAGCTGTCATCCAAGACCTTTGAAACAAGGTATTCCCACTGGACAGTACCTTAGACTACGACGCAATTGCACGGATCTTGAGGACTTCCAGATTAAAGCTAAAATCTTGAGACAGCAGTTCAAAGAGAAGGGTTATCCTAACAGATGTTTGAAGAGGGCATATAATAGAGCTTTGAAAGCTGACAGGGTGGCCCTTTTGTCCGACTTCCCAACATCGATGAAGGCTTCGGATAAAACCATTAGAATGATTGGTACATTCGATACTGGTTGGGATACTGTTAAAAGCTCAATGCAAAAGTTTTGGCCGATTCTACTTAAGGATACCCACCTTAAGGAGATTTTGGGCCAACGAGTCTCCATTACAGCCCAAAGAGGTAGGAACCTCCGTGATATTCTCGTACCTAGCCACTTTACTTCTAAACAACCTTCTAACAGTACGTGGCTCGGTAGAAAAATCCCTGTAGGTTCTTTTGGCTGTGGGAGATGCGTGGCTTGTAAATTTATCCTTAGAGATTCGAAGGAGGTGATGGATAGTGAAGGTAAACAATCCTTCCAGATTACCCACTTCTTTAATTGCAACTCAGTAGGGGTTATATACCTGCTTACCTGTAGTTGCAAGTTGATGTATGTGGGTAAAACCTTTCGTCCATTTAAAGAACGCATTAAAGAACACGTTAGATCACCTAAAAATCGACTTGATACCCCCATTTCAAGACATCTAAAGGAACAACATGGTGGGTTATCAAAAGATATACGTTTCTGTGGCTTAGAACTTGTGAAACGTGATCAGAGACGGGGTGATTTTGACAAAATTCTGCGCCAGAAAGAATGCAGGTGGATTTATAAACTTAATACCCTCAATCCAAGAGGACTCAATGAGGGGTTTTCTTTTTCTCCATTTATTTGAATTATTTAGTGCGCTTTGCCTTTAATAAATTTCATCTAATTTTAACTAAATAAAATTATATCTCTTATAATCTGTTTTTTTCCTATATTGCATAATACATATAATATAATCGGTCTTTCTATTGGCACACTCATCTTTCCCTGTGATCACTTTTAGTATACAGTGTATGGTTACAACCTTTAATACTGGCAAGTGGATCATGGGACATCCATGTTAACATGTGTCATATAAAGGATATTCTATCACCCTTCCTTTTGAGTTACTTTACTCTTTAGCAAGCCCTGTCTATATACAATATAACATATTTATATATATATATACCAGTCAATCGTTTATATACACAGGTATTAAACTCAACCTTTTTATGGTGTGAGTCTCCTTTAAACAGCTTATTTTCAATACACACTTGGCGTCTAGCAAGGTCTATATGGTTTTTATTCTCTAAAGTCTCATTTGATATAACACCTAGAGTTTAGTAAGGCTTATACGGCTTTTATTATTTCTCAATATACCCTTAAAGCGATTATTTGCCGTTCTTTCTAGCCTTTGAACTGAATATTTATTATTTTTATTATCATTTAACCTTGCATCCTTATACTCCTTTCTGGATGAATGTTGTTACTGTGCTAATCTGCTTTGATATTTTGTTACCTTTTTGTTAAAAAAATACTTACTTTAGCTTTGAGCCTTAATTGCAACATGTATCTACTCTTTATGTAGAGGTTTTTTTTTTTGCCATTAGTGTATACCGAGTGACTAGGGTGACCACTCCCACCTCCTCCGATTGGTTCAATATGCAGGGGAGGTCACCTGTCACTCTTTCACAACCTGTGGTCTTTTGATTGAAGGGCTTTAATTGAAGGGTGTGTCTATATCCCCTTTATAACTGCTTCCCGTGTCACTTACCAGGTAGCTCTTGACAAAGGCGTATCTAAAACGCCGAAACGCGCGTCGAGATATTTTCTAGCCGATGCTATTATACTCAATTGATTTTCTTTACTCTCATCTTTCATTTACCTGGGTTTCCACAGCGCATGTGTTTGCCCCTATATTTTCTCCTGATACAGACTTAGGGATTTGGATAGGCTGCCACGAAGCAGCAGTTAGTTTTGCCATTTCTTTTAGGATAGTTAGTTTTTTAGGGTGACTCAGAGGGGGGGGGGTTTCTATCTTTCCTTTCTTTATAGGGTATTAGCTCCTTTTCTCTTTAGTATAAGCTACTCAATATTAGTTTGGGCGTGCCCCATTAGTTGCTATTAACCCTGCCCTTTCCAGATTCTCTCAGACACTGCTCTAAGACTATCCTTTTTCTATCCAATTACCCAGTTGGGTCCTTTCCTAGAATGGATTTAGACTAACCTGCTTTGTTACCCATTTATTATTTTAGGTGTATCTTTACACCTTTATTAAGTCAAACATACCTTGCAGGATTAGCCTCAGGATTAGCCTCTCCCAGGCTTTTACAAATTTGGTGGTTACTTATAATCAATACACTATTTTAGTGTATGGTAATAGTATTTGGACTATATACCATTTTAGCATTTTTTTCTAATAAATGTTTATCCTCTTCTATGTGACTTTTTACATTATGAGGTACTTTGAATGAGGCTAGGCATTCCACCCACTTTTTTGTGAGTGGACTGTCTGCCCCATTTTTCGTCTCTTTTTTTCTATATATAAAATTATGGCTAAGATATCTGTATGGTCAGCCCTGCTATGTTCTACGCTTTAAGACATTACAGTGGTAAATAGGGGAACCAGCCGCGATTACAGCAGAAAGAATGAAAGTCGTTATCCCTTTTATCATCCACCATAATCAGACAGGGTTTATTAAAGGAAGACAGGCGAGCGGGAATACCCGTAAAGTTATAAATCTCATTCATTATATAATAACTCACACAATTCCATCAATTATTCTGGCCCTTGATGCAGAAAAGGCCTTTGACTGGCGATTTTTTGAAGAGGTCCTTAAAGCTTTCAATTTTAGGAGTGAGTTAGTCAACTCGGTCATGGCTTTATATACTATTCCAACTGCTAAAATAGTGGGTCAGTGTTGATTAGTTTCTGATTCGTAATGGAACATGGCACGGGTGCCCGTTGGCACCAATGCTTTATATTTTATTGTTGGAACCAATGGCAGCAAGAATCAGGGCTTTGCAAAACATTGAGGGAGTTAAAGTGGGCAAACAGATATACAAAGTAAATCTGTGTTACTGACTTTGACAAATACTGAAAAATCTATAGAAACAGTTTAAATCTGGAGAGATGTCTCCCAGTGGAGTATTCCTCCTAAAATTTAGTGTACCATATACGCCATATCTTGTTGAATCCTTCTAGATTGAAATGAGAAATAAAATACCCTTTTTCCATTCTAGCTATATGATCAATCTGATTTTTCACCTCTCTCAAGCTAATATAATTCTGAATTTTCCAGTTTCGAGCAATTATAAGCTCCATGGCCAAAAGGACATGAATAACCAAACTCCTCAATGCAGATGATATAATTGTTAAACACAATGAAGCATAGCTATTTTTGGATGAGTATTATTTACAGACTTAGTCAAAGGCAAAAATAACCCCCAAAATCTCTTCCCACGTAGGCTTTATGAGTTTACACTCCCACCACATGTGTTGCCTATGTTTTCTCAACACCGCCAACAGGCCTCAGACAATGATGGATTCAATTTGTGTATCATTTGTGGGACAATGTGCCATCTAATACAATGTGTAGCTCTTTTTATAATGCTCCAATTTTCGGCCTATATTTTCAACTCACTCTCAATGCCTACCTCTTGAGACCAACTATTCCAAGCTTTAGGGAACCTATCTGGTGCCCATTGTCCCAACATATAATACCATCTTTTTAGACTGCCCGGTTGGTGGACTTTACTTAGCAATTTTTCTATTTGGGAAAACAACTCGACCTCATCCTCAGAACACTGATGTTTTATAACGAATTCTATATACACTAAAATATTTACTTATTGGGGTGTTAAAATCATGATTTAATTGAGCAATACTCTTAAACCCCCCTCTTGAAACAAGTCTATAGCTTTTATAATCTTCTTGTTTGTCCATGAATCTATGTTCAAATTAACAAACAAATCTTCAAATATATCAACTGGGACCTCTTTATTCATATAATTTTTTATCTGGTTTTTCTTTTTGAATTTCTTCCAAATTCTCAAAAACCCACCTAAAATACAATTCATCCTGGCTCCTACTACATCCTGCTCCATCCATAGAAGACTTGCTAGGTTATTGACCCCCCATTAACTGTTGCTCAATCCCACACCAATCCTCAATTTTGGAGAAGGGGCATTGGATCATGCTAACATGTGTGAGCATACTGCACACTGGCTTGAACATACCTCTCCATACATGGTAACCCTTTATGTCTATATAATGCCACTGTCCCTATTCAAGGTTTTTTATTTTTCCAGATAGATTTGCTCACAACCTTTTGAATTTTTTTTTACACCATGCAGTGGGTATTGGAAAAGGAATCATTCTAATGGAGTAAATCCATCTAGGTAAAATATAGGCTTTCAGCAGGTTAATTTTGCCCAAAAAAGACAAATTTTAATTATTCCATTTACTAGTCTGCTTTGTAAGATCTTGAAACAGGGGAGTGTAATTTAAGTCAAGTATCTGTTCCTGATCCCTGGGTATATATATGCCCAAATATCTCATAGAGTCACTTGTCCATGAAAATGAATATTTATTTGTTAGTCCGTGCATTGCAATCGAATGCACAAGAGCAGGGAATCCCTCTAATCTATGGTCAGGGAAATTTCCCCGAACATAGATTAGAGGGATTTCCTGCTCTGTTGCATTCGTCTATGTTCGGGGAAATATCCCTGAACATAGAAGAACGCAGCAGAATCCCTCTAATTCCCACGATCGCTCGCACTTACCACCCTGCGAGGACCACCTGTATACAAATATATTTGGGGCCAGTACAATCCATTATCTGGAAATCTATCTATAAACAGTTGTATACATAGGACACAAGGTCACGCATTTAGGCTGGAAGAAAGGAGATTTAGTCTAAGGCAAAGAAAAGGTTGTTTTTTTTACAGTAAGAACTATAAGGATGTGAAATTATCTGCCTGAGGAGGTGGTTTTATCAGTCCATACAGATATTTAAACAGCAATTTTATAAATACTTGCAAAACATAATATGCAGGGATATACTTTCTAATTAGTGGGGTAATAGCTGTTTGATCCAAGGAGATATTTGACTGCCATTTTTGGGTCAAGAAATCATTTTTTCCTAGTTGTTTCAAAATTGGAAATGCTTGATACTAGGTTTTTTTTACCTTCTTTTGGATCAACAGCAAAAACGTGTGAGAAAAGCTGAACTTGATTATTATTATTAGTATGTTATTATTTATATAGCACCAACAAATTCCGCAGCGCTTTCCAGTGGGTGGACGAACAAACATGTAATTGTAACCAGACAAGTTGGACACACAGGAACAGAGGAGTTGAGGGCTCTGCTCAATGAGCATACATGCTAGAGGAAGTGGGGTAAAGTGACAGAAAAGTTAAGGATAGTATTAGACTAATGACAGTTGCAAGAGAGGAATCAGTCGGGAGCTTTTAACAGTTTAATTGATATGCTTTTATGAAGAAGTGGGTTTTTAATGATTTTTTTTAAGGCGTGGTGACTGGGTGAGCATCTAATGGAGGAAGGAAGTGAGTTCCACAGGAACGGTGCAGCCCTTGAGATTTCTTGAAGGCGAGCATCAGAGGTGGGAGTATGGACAGAAGATAGACTTAAGTCTACAGCAGAGCGTAAGGGCCTAGATGGGACATACTTGTGTATTAGGGAGGATAGATAGGTGGGAGCAGCATTATGTAGAGATTTGAAAGCAAGAACCATAATTTTATATTTAGCTCTATATCTTACAGGAAGCCAA